CTATCGACTCTGTTGCTCTCTTTTGCGACTTCTTCGCTCGTGTTTCGTGCAAAGAAATCAACTTGTTGCAATTCTAACCGAGTGTGCATATATGAGTACATAGAACTGGACCGGCTCAGAAGTTTGCAGCTACCCACTTCACCCATGCTCGCGTCTCCTGTAGCTCGCTGGCTAGAGCGTCTGACTGTGTCCGGAAAGGCAATTGTTGCGGGAATAGCACATTCAGTAACTGATTAAGATTTGTGTTCCTTTGCAGGTGTCCCGTATTCGTATGCCGTACGCTGCTAAGCTGCTTTTCCAAGAGCTTATGTCTATGAGTATCGCTCCCAGGATGATGGTGTGTGATTCAGTCAAATAAGCAATGCACATCCTGGGCCTTAAACTGTGATCGAGTTTTCTACACCTTCTGGGTCTTTAACTGTGATTCAGTAAATAAGCGATACATATCTTTGATCTCGAACCGTGATCCAGTCAAATAAGTGATATCCCTTCTTAACTCCTCCCGAACGAACGAACACAAATTGTGGGCGAATTCTCCTGGTGTTGGACTAAAGCTGCCTTTAAGCCGGTGACACAATAAATATGATATCGTTCTCATTGGCAGCCAGGGCGCAAATAAAGTCATAGTTTGTAGAGGTCGCCCACAGGGCAAGCTCATAGCGAGCTTCAGTTACCCATCATTCACTCACCAGAAACATGTGTATCATTTACATGTAAATAGCGTTTGCTGGACGAGGCTAGTAAATGTTTTAAGTCTACTGGCTTGAAATGAAAACTCCTCAGTCCTGTGCTGTCTTCAGTGTTCTCCTTTTCCGGGTTCGGTATTTCCAGACTTTCTCTGCTAACTGGACAACAGGTTACGACCAACTGTGTACATTTTGCATTATGTGTGACTGAACCAATACCAAATTAGTTGTGTTACATCTAGAAACGATCTCCTTTAGTTGGTTCGAGTTCATGGACGGATTCCGATCCATGGGAAAATAGTTTCCTTTACATGGAATACCCTTGTATAGTGTTTTTGTAAGTAGTAAAACCATGCATCATTTTAACATGCATATGTAAATTCAAACATTCAACTGTTGCAATATTAAAACAAAATGCTTTATCAATATCACGATATCATAACTTTGGGGATTAATGGCGAAAACAACCCGATGTAAGAAGGCATGAAAGCAGCGCAATCACACGCAGTTCACCAATTGGGCACACAAAAAATCCAACAACAGGGCACAACCACGTTTTGTTTTTTTGTTTTTTTCTGCATCTTCTTTTCTGTCCACCATAAAATTTCAATGGAAACTGGGGGCATTGCTTGATATCTCATGTAGCAATTGCAACTAACCCGGACCGAGTAACTTAAATTGGTGTAATTCTTAATATATATTAATATATTTTTAGTATTCTAATTATTTTAAGCTGAGGGCCCCAAGTTTATCTGTAACTTAAGTTACTGTCACGGGTCACCCTCATTAAATAAAGTCTTTCACTTCACTTCACTTCTTGTAACAACAGTTCGGGATATCGATAATATCTGTTAAATTCTGTTTGCCGAAGCCAACAAAGTGTTACTGAACATCATATTGATAAGGAAAAACCTCATTTTTATTTACATTCAACACTTACTGAAAGTAAGCTAAAAGCCAGGTCTAAACGGGAACGATCCAACATTGTTTTGTGACCAAACATTTTCCCGTTTGGACACATTGTTTGATCGTGTTTGACCGTGTTTGATAAAATTTGAACGACGTCAAACATTTGATGGAACACTAAAACATTTTGTTCGTTCAAACATGTTGATACCGTTTGGTCACTGTACAACATTAACATGTTTGGTCACCAAACAATGTTTGATCGTGTTTGGACGCGAAACCATTACACCTTACTACATCAAATCTAGACATTTTTATAGCTTAGATAACACGCCCTAAAAAAAGAACTTCAAAATACCAGCGCCACTACGAAACAAGGAAAATGAAACTTCCAAGAAGGCCATCTAGATTTGTCGATGTATTTAAAAGTAAACAAAATGTAAAGTTGATCTACGTGAGTGACTCCCCACCCTGGAAAAAGTGCAAGTTCGTGAAATAATCGCGCACTTAAACAACCTTGTTACAATGCATGAAGTCGCAGTTTAAAACTTTTCCCTTACATAGCTTATACCTGTCAACTCTTACACCTTAGGCACGAGTTACGCCCTGCCTCGACAACACTCAAGCCCAGACCAAAAATGGGAGCCATTAATTAAGTAAAGCTAGCAACAAATTTAAAATTGTGTTTATGCTTTCTTCCTTGCTCCCTGAAACGCTTATCCTCTAGTGAAAAGCAAACTTTCGAAAAATATGCGCGCCTAAACCAATGCAAAATCAAAAAAGAAAAAAAACCACTTCTGAATTCGTCGATTTTAAGAAGGTAAAAATACTGTCGAAGAGTTGGTGTTTGGAGAAATTCAAACCGAGACCGAGACACCGGAAATTTTCCGACATATTCGTTTATGGCGCGCCATCTTCGAAAATCCTGGTAATTCCTATAATTTCACCCATGACAATCGTGTAAATATTGAGTAACTGAAATAAAGGAATCCGTTTTTCGATTGGATGTCTTAAGCGTGATAACTCTGATTGAGCAGCAATTCCCCCATGTCTTCTTTGTCTTCGCCCGGCTTAAGGGGAAGATTGCCGTTCTCCGTATCCTCGGCTTTGCTGGCGGAGTCCTTCTTGACGGAATCCATATTCTCAAGAGTTGGCATGTCTCTTGTCTCTGGCAGCAGAAAGCACAGGCCAGCACAAACAGCAGCAAGTACTGCTACAGTGGAATACGGCAAAAGAAGGTGCACACGGACCTGTTGAAAAAGAGAATTTATTTGTGCATCAATTTTTTTAGAATTTACAGGAATTTCAACTCCACTTTCAGAGTTGTTAGTTTAGCAATAACAGAATTGCATATGGGGTTCACATGCGGACTTCAGTGGAATCAACCCTAATTGTAAAGTTGAGTTTCGGCAGTCTGAATAATGGAGGGCCGAGTTCTACTTCTCGAAATTCAGGTTTTCTTAGCAGCTACCGAACCGTATAAAGAGAACGTGGCACAGACAAAAGACCCTATAGCGCGACACACAGATGACTTTGCAAACATTCAGTGGGGCATAAGTCATTGCACCCGCTAGCAAAGTAGCTCGTACAAGGGGGGAACGAGTGTGAGCGGACAGAGTTTGTGCTTGCGTCGCTCCACCAACAGTGGGCGACAGATGTGTTGAGACAGTGCTATTTTTGAATACTTTAGAAGAAATGTTTCCCCTGACTTATTACCTACCCCCCCCCCCTGCCCCTCCCCTCAAAACAATGTTGGAATTTCGTATCTCCAAGAGTTGCTTCGTTCCTGTGCAACATTCAAAAGGGGGAAGGGCAAAGGTCTTAAGGGATCTCAGTCACGGTATTTTGAGTTATTTTGGCCACGTACAAAATTGCCATTAAATTGAAGAAAACTTGAAAGTAGCACTTCACTAAAATAGAAAAACACCAAGAGATTTTGTTATACCTCCCAACTCAAATACATTTTCTGGTTGGAGGAAAACGTGTGACGTGTCGTAGGTCAAAACTCACTAACTCCCTAGGGCGAACAAAAATCACTAACCCCCTAGGGAAACAACAACATGAACTTTCGACTCGCACGTGATCAGATCGTGCTCCTTGAAACGGCGGCAAATTTGTGCCGAGCCAGCCAGCCTAAAGCAAACGATTTCTTCGCAGTTTTTTTCTACTTTTAAGGTGGTATGGTACCCTCTAATTGACCAAAAAGTTTGTTTAAATATGGTGAAGAAAGATCAATTGTGTGCTATTGCACTCAAAAAGAGAAATTAAATTTCTAAAGTTTTACTCAAAATGGTTGCTATGGAAACCAGCCACAGCCTTTTGAGGTAGTGTTTTATAGTATTGATTTCGCTACCGTCAATCACTACCATCAATCAAATGTTCAACTATCATGCATAGAAATCTAGAGCGAATAATTTAATTGTTTTAGTATAACTGTACTAGTCGTTCGAAACTTTATCTTAATCCTCTTCACAGACACTTTAAAAACGCCAAGAAACGGCCGTCATTTTGTTAACAAGAGCACACTGCTACACTACTCACTATCTATCACAGAATAGATAGTGAGTAGCATAGCCAATCAGAGAATGGCATTTATGATAGTACACTAGTAGATTTATACTAAAAATTAATAGAAACACGGTATACGTTTTCTATTTATTAAATATAAAACAAGTCAATTGAAAAGCATATCAGTTTTTTCTTTGTAACCCTAGTTTAAGTAACAAGTAACTGAAACAAAGAATCGTATGCTGAAGTGAAAAGCCGAAGTTAAATTTGAGTGTGAGAGCTGCAAGACACCAACTTCTCACTGGACAGAGGTTATCATAGTTGTCAATGCAGTGATGCAATATCAACCTTGTCCAGTCATCAGTGCTGTTCATTCATCAGTGATTCTTGTTTTTGGTTTTCTTTGTAGTTGGCAGGATTTAGTCGCAGGTGGAATTGTAGAGTATATTGATGTCAATGAAGAGGAGACGGTTATGGTGGCCATGACTCCAGATGAACTGGTAGAGAAAGGTCAAGCTTACTGTTCAACGTACACACACTGTGAAATTCATCCTGCCATGATCCTTGGAGTCTGTGCGTCTATCATTCCATTCCCTGATCACAATCAGGTGTGTTGAACAAGAGTTCACTGTTTGAACTTTCAGCAATACTTGATCTTGGTTTAGAACCATCTGGTCCAAATTTCTCAAAAGAGTTTGTTTAATTGTTGAAAACATTACATGGATCTTATGCCTAGTTCTCTATGGCCTTTTATGGGCCATTCCAAACCATGCAAAGTTAGGCTGTGAGGCAGAGCAATCAGTGTTGTCTCATTAGATAAACTGTTGCAAAGATTGCTGAGCTTGTTGATTTGACAGCCTCATGAAATTGCTGAAGAAGTGTAAAACCACAGATCAGAATTTTTTAACACTGAAGAGGTTCTTAAGCTTGGGCGGAGAAGCCGTCATGCCCTTGACGTGTTGACTTTTTATTAACTGTCACCTATTATTAACAGTCTCCTCGTAACACATACCAATCTGCTATGGGAAAACAAGCCATGGGTGTGTACATTACCAACTATCACGTCCGTATGGACACACTGGCCCATGTGTTGTACTACCCTCAGAAGCCTCTGGTCACTACACGTTCCATGGAGTACCTCAGATTCAGAGAACTGCCTGCTGGTAAGTAGAGCATCATAATGAATATAGAAATGTCTTCCCTTGTTAGCCACACAAACTGATCATCCATTTACTCGTGTATTACTACCCTCTATTTCTCTCTCTTTGCTTGTTAATATTGTTTATAGTTTATTTACTTTTTTCCTCAGGAATCAATGCAATAGCAGCTATTGCATCTTACACTGGGTACAACCAGGAAGATTCAGTCATCATGAATGCTTCAGCTATTGACAGAGGACTTTACAGGTAAAATAATAGCACAGCTCTCTTGTTCAGTATGCCACTACAGAACTATTGGATACAACCTGTAAAACATTGCCCTCTCGGATACATGTATGATGTCCTGAGAATCCAGTTCCCTTGGGGTCTTTACTTAACCATGTGGCCTTGTCAAAGTAAAGCAAGCAGTCAAATATATGTTAACAAAGTGCTTTTATACGATTGTCAGGTCTGTGTTTTATCGATCATACCGTGATCAAGAATCCAAGAAAGGAATGGACCAGGAAGAGACATTTGAAAAACCAACAAGGGACTCATGTCAGGGTAACGTCCTACTTTCTGTTACAGCCTTTGATTGCCTTTGTATTCCCATATTTCACAGCACTCGATATATAACCAATAAGTTTTTTTCAGGCATGCGTAATGCAGTGTACGATAAGCTGGATGATGATGGGCTCATAGCACCAGGAACTCGTGTGAGCGGCGATGATGTCATTGTAGGCAAGACCATTACCCTTCCAGAAAATGAGGACGAGGTACCTTATTAAAGCCATAGCATTTTACAAAAGCAAGTTCTAGAGACAGAAACACTGATCTTGCTCTTCATACTCATTACCCGGTTGTTCGAAAAGCAAGTTAACACCAACCCAGGTTTAAAAGTTAACTGAAGTAGTCATTTTTCTTGGATAAAAACGTTTTTGACTACCTATGTTTTGTGTAGTTTGAGATTATTCAAACTTAAAACTGAAGGACAAACAACATAAACAGAAACCCTCATGCAAAAAGTACCAAACTCAAATCAAAATTCTTGCTAATCCTAGGTTAGCTTAAACAGGCTTTGAACAACCTGCCCCAGAAGACCTAACTAAGATAAGCTAAGTAGCTTTTGGTTAAATGAAGACAGATGTAACCTAGATAAATTTAGGACTTGGTCCTTTGATGAGTGAATTAAGTAAAGTGGTGATCAATTCTTTTGCAACCTCTTGAGATGGGAAGGTCTAACATGTAAATGATGTTGCTTTAGTTGGAAGGAACAACTCGAAGGTTCAGCAAGAAAGACTCAAGCACATTTTTGCGACCCAGTGAGACAGGGATTGTAGATCAGGTGAGTTGTCTATGAGATCTTTTAAACTATTCTTTTTGCCTTATTTTGCATTTCTTGGTATACATCTGTGACCTATTATTTTGTTTTGCCCTTCTTCTTTACCTTTTCAAGGTTATGGTAACTATCAATCAGGAAGGCTACAAGTTCACAAAAATTAAGGTACAGTCTTGTTTGAGCCATTTACATGTTTCTCTCTGTCCTTTTCTGCCTTCAGCTTGACGATCTCAGAAATATATTCTGGTACCTTTGTCATAGTCTCTGTTGGCATTTCCATCACTTTCTTATGGGAAATGAAAGGTCCTCTTGGAAATCTCGTGAAATGAAGTCTCGACTTTACTCTAATGAGGCAAGGTTCTGAGATGTTGTATGTTTTGTTATCTGGCAGGTTCGATCTGTTCGTGTTCCCCAAATTGGCGACAAGTTTGCTAGTCGGCACGGTCAGAAGGGAACTTGTGGAATAACGTATCGTCAAGAGGTGAGTTGTTATTTCGAGATTTTCTTTAACTTGGACGTCATTTTGTGCATGCTAAGAAAAGCAATTACTTATAATATTGAACCATAGCTTCCTTAGCGTGGTCAGTAGTGCTGATGATGTGAATTCTAATTGATGCTGTTAATCTCTCTGTGCAGGACATGCCATTCACGTGTGAAGGGATCACTCCTGATGTGATTATCAACCCTCACGCTATTCCTAGCCGTATGACAATCGGTCATTTGATCGAGTGCCTCCAAGGAAAGGTAACAGTTCGCAATTTATTTCTGGCTCTTTGTGAAGCCCTTAATCTTGTACTTAAAAACAGAGTAACTTGCATGCTTTTGTTTGTTGTAGTTCTGTCTCCTTCATCTGTTATGTCTTACTTACATGTATTATTCCATTCATTAAGTAATTGTTCAGCACAAAACTGCATTTAAAGGGTTATTACATTTAGGTTGGTACTAATTTCTTTCCTTGGGGTTGACGTTGAAACTGCCCCGTCCCACATTAAATGAAGCCCACTGAGCATTTCTTTATTGTGGAAAATTTCAGGGAATGTAAATTTGACAAAATTTTCAAGATTTTTATTTGCACCCCCAAGGTTCATTCAGTCATTTGATTTTACACCAGCTCGTATACAGATAAAGCCACAATAAATGTTTGATTCAAGGCAAGTTGTGTAACAGTCTACTGGAACTTGTTTAAATTCTGAATTAATGATTTGCAGGTTTCAGCTAACAAAGGAGAGATTGGTGATGCCACGCCCTTCAATGATGCGGTGAACGTTCAGAAAGTTTCCCAGCTGCTCAACGACTATGGCTATCATCTGAGAGGTAACGAGGTAGGTGTCACGCAACAACTAGAGTGTAACTTAACTACTAATAATGGTCGTGGCATAACGACACCTCAATCAATCAGTCAGTCCGTCCGTCCGTCCCTCCGCCAGCTAGCCAGTCCGTCCGTCCGTCCGTCTGTCCATCCGTCTGTCCCTCCGTCCGTCAGTCAGTCAGTCAGTCAGACAGTCAGTCAGTCAGTCAGTCAACCAGTCAGTCAGTCAGTCAGTCAGACAGTCAGTCAGTCAGTCAACCAGTCAGTCTGTCAGTCAGTCGGTCCGTCCGTCCGTCCGTCCGTCCGTCTGTCAGTCAGTCAGTCAGTCAGTCAGTCAATCAATCAATCAATCAACCAGTGAACTGTACAATTGTAGATATGTCTGCTGTGCAAGTTGTCATTGTCACACATTTTGCTTACAGGTGTTGTACAATGGCTTCACGGGTCGGAAGCTGAATGCGCAAGTTTTCCTTGGTCCGACATATTACCAGCGTCTTAAGCACATGGTGGACGACAAGATCCACTCTCGAGCCAGAGGTCCAGTCCAAATTCTAACTAGACAACCTATGGAAGGACGGTCACGGTAAGTCAATGTTTAACCGCGATGGATTTCCCAGCGTAAATTCAACGAAGTATGATGGTTTTTACCCGGTAGGATCACGCTTGCATATTAGCCGAATATTTAGCAGGTCCTAGTTCTGTTGTAAGAGAAACAGAATCATAGTTTTTAAACTTATCCAATAGCTGCCAATAGCTGCCAATAGCCCAATTTCGATATATTAAAATTCAGCCTAAAACAATAGACCTCAGCACGAGTCTCCGGGGAATAAACCCCACAAACTCTGTCGTTATTCCCCGGAGCCTCATGCAGAGGTCTGTTGTTTTAGGCTGAAAATTGTTTTATTCTTCTATTCCTTGTCAACCCCCCGGTCTGACTT